CGGAGCAGCTGGTAGTTTCGAACTGCTGACCTTGCTGTTCGCAGCCCGATTCATAACCACTACGCTACCAGAGCTCCCTTTTGCCGTGGTAGTAGGTTCTTATCATTTGCGTTAGAACCTCATCAACTATTTCATTTTCTCCTGGATGCCCCAGGTCATATCCTAACATGGTCCCTATCCATTGACCCTATATTTTTTTCTGGGGGGTGTGGGATGGGGGTCAGCTACAAGGTATAGACCCCCACTGCCTCTGATGATGGCGGCCCCCCTCCCACTGGTGTTCAGTTCCCTGGACCCTGGTAAAGCTTTCAGGGAGCATCCTAACTACCCTCCTCTTCCTCAACAGGATCCATTTAAGGTTACAAAGCTTACTGCGCTTGCCATTTCAGACTAGAATATAGCATTCTTCGTGGCAAATTTCCCTTTGACTTTAATGTGCCAACGTAACTTCCTTAAAGGATCCAGGCCTTTATTACATAGGAAACAATATATATATACATATATACACTGCAGAAGAAGCTTATTATTTTTCAACAATGTTTTTCCAGTGTGAGTTTAAAGAGTCCCTTGATTCATTTTCAAAGAATGCTTTCATCGCAGTAGAGAATCGCTTCCTTTATTTTCATTCTGAAGCCAATTAGCATAGGGTAATTGCTCTGCTAGAATGCTAGGCAATTTTAAAAATTAATTTAGCTCTTCTAATTCAGGGCAGAAAAGAAAATCGAACCATTACAGTAGGAGAGGAAAGTGTACAGAGACACAGAAGCAGGTGTTTCCTAAGAATGAATCCCTGGCTTGGGATGTGCACAGAGCAGTCCAGGAATGGCTGGAGTGGGAGCTGGGCCATGTCTGGAGACCCTGGCCCTGAGGAAAGTTCTGGGTCAGCTGTGAGGAATGGCTAGTGGCTATGGGACCAGGGGCAAGTCCGCACTGGTCCTGTGTTCACCTCTCCTCTCCCCTAACCTTCCTGTAACCCACCTCCAGGTTTTCTGACCCCTGTGTTTCCACCCTGACATCACTGCCTTTGTGAGTTTTCACCTGTTCCTGCCACTACACCTGATAGGCCCATTCTTGCTTCTCTCCTTGTCAGTCAACACCATAGGCCCGGGTAGAACTGCCCTGGAGGATTCCCAAGGCCGTAATCTTTACTGAAGCAGTCTGCCATATCTTCCTCTTGCAGGTTGGTTGGTGGGTTCAAACCTTTGACCTTTCAGTCAGCAGCTGAACTTTTAACCACTGCGGCACCAGGGGCCCTTTGCTGCTGCTGTTTCTGTGTTCTGTGGAGTCGGTTCCAATTCACAGTGACCCTATGTAGGGTTTCTGAGGTTGTAAATCTTTACAGGAGCAGAAAGTCTCACCTTTCTCCTGCGGAGCACTTGCTAGATTCGAACTGCTGAACTTGTGGTTAGCAGCCCTGCATGTAACCCATTATGCCACCAGGTCTTCTTAGAACTCCTTTAGTCTTCTCTTTAAAAACAAAAAGAAAAAACAGTGGCTGTTGTGTCCATTTCAACTCAGGACAACTCTGTGTGTTTCAGAGTAGAATTAGACTCTCTAGGATTTTCAGTGACTATGATCTTTTTGAAATAAATTTCCAGGCTTTTCTTCCGAGGTGCCTTTGAAGCACCTATGGATAGATTTGAACCATCAACCTTTCAGTCAGTAGCCAAGTGCCTGCTGTTTGCACCACCCAGGGCCAGGTTAAACCTGGTGGAGCGTGCCCAGACTGCTAACCCTTACCCTAGACCCCTCCTGGGATGCCCAATGTCTAAGCCCCCAGGGAGGAATCCATGCCCTCTTCCCTATTGATGGCTTGCCAACCCGGAAGCATCCGCAGGAGCCCAGTTACCTCAACGGGGTAGTTATTGGATACTGGTGTGGGTGCCATAAGGCACCCTAATGAGGCAGTGGTTAAGTTCTCAGCTACGAACCAAAAGAAAGGTTGGTGGTTCGAACCCACCAGCCACTCTGCAGGAGAAAGATGCGGTAGTCTGTACC